CACAGTGAGACAAGCCTCCTGTTGACATTCAGTCACCTGTGCTTAGATAATCATCAGCCAGGGGCACCTGGGTGGCTCAGTTAACCCTCCAACTTCGGTTCAGGTCATGATCTCACAGTTTGGGCGTTTGAGCCCCGCATCGGGCTCTGTGCTGACAGCTTGGAGCCTGGAGCCTGCTTCGGATTCTATGTCCCCCTCTCTCTGCCCCTCTCCCACTCGTGCTCTGTCTGTCTTTCTCTCTCAAAGAGAAACATTAAAAAAAAAAAATTAGAAAAAAAAAAAGGTAATCATCATCCAGAACATTCCATGTCTGATCGGAAGAATCTCATGGCTAATTTCAGAGAATCCGTGTCCATTTCCTATACTCCTTAGTGTCACAGCTGAGCAAAGAGACAGACTCAGCTGGATGGAACAGTGTCCTCTGCTGTGGCAGCAGGACCAGAAAACTGTTGGGGCAGTGGGAGCAAGAGGTATGCAAGAGGGAGTGGGGGGCAGGAGGGGAATTCAGCCCAGGGTGGGTAAAGACCCATCAGAAGGCGGGACGTCAAGGTAAGACACCCCCCCCCCCCAAGAAGACCCCAAGTCATGCTCCCTTCTTCCCCCTGCCAAGATTAACTGGGTTGAAAGATTCTGAAAATGTCAATTCAATTCAGCTGCCTGACTGTCCACGTTTAATACAGGATGTTTCTCACCTTTTGTACAATTTGTGTTTTATTTTCTATTTTTTTTTTAAGATTTTATTTTTAGGTAATCTTTACACCCAACATGGGGCTTGAACTCACAACCGCAAGATCAAGAGGCACACACTCTACTGACTGAGCCAGTCAGGCAACCCTGTACAACTTGTGTTTTAATGCCCTTTACAGCCACACACTTGCCTTTGATGTGTGAACTTGAGACTTTAGACCTGCCCAAGCCTGTGCCCCATAGATGACACGGTTCCACCACGTACAGCCGGTGGAGAGAGAAAGCAAGGTGAGGGCCTTGAAGACCCAGCAGCTGTCCGCCCACCGTGGTGGTCTCCGTGCACCCCACACAGTGCGTGTAAGGAGATCTGGTGCCAGGGAAGCCAACGTGCTGGAGACCCTGAGCGCAGACACCCTGGCCTGTCCCCTGTCCTTCCACTGGCCACACCACAGGGCAGGCAGATATACTTGGGCACAGCATGTGCTTCTTACCAGCATCATGTGTGCAAACCCGAATATTCCAGCCTCTGGGAGTCAGGTCCATCCTCAAAGGTGAGCCCTCAGTGCCTAGGAGGCCCAGGAGGCCCAGCGAGCACCTACCTGCCCTGTCGGCCTTGAGCGCGTCCCACACGTTGCAGTTGAAGTCGTCGTACCCTGCAAGGAGCAGGCGCCCACTCTTGGAGAAGGACACCGAGGTGATCCCACAGATGATGTTGTCATGGGAGTAAGTCATGAGCTCCTGGTCCGCACGGAGGTCGAACAGCCTGCAGGTAGCATCATCCGAGCCAGTGGCAAATGCATTGCCATTTGGAAAGAACTAGAAAGAGAAAGCAAGCCGAGAGAGTAGGCAAAAGCACACAGAGAAGTCGTGGAAACAGGACCGGCCCACAGAAGGGCTGCTGCCCGCACAGGAGGAAAGGGTCAGCAGGGGCCGGACTCTGGAGACACAGGGAAGCAGAGCGGCAGCTGCCTGGGCATCCGGAAGGGAGGGCGTCGGTACTGGGGCAGGCACAGCGGCCGTCTTCGCCAAAGAGTAGCCTTCCTTTCATGATCAACTGTTTCCCAAGGGAGCAGGAAGAGTGTGGTCACCCCTGAGCACCGCCAGCAGCTGGACTAGCCTCGTGGAGGAAAAGCGGGGGAGGAATGCCCAGCCCTGATCAACCAGATATCACCCTCCACATCTTCTTGCAACCCCCATCACGTCAGGGTGACGCGGCAACGGGAAGGCTCCTTTAGCTGGCTGCGCCCCAACCACGGGGAGAAGGCTGAGCGTGTAAGGTTCCTGCTCAAGGTTCAGCCTCTGCCCCCCCTCCGTCCCCCACTCCTAAGAGACTGTGCTGACTGGGTCAACTACTGCCTTGTCTGCTTCCCAACTAGAGGGAAGCCCAGGACACCAATCGCTGGCTCACCCCAGGGCCTGCACACTGTAGGCCCATCGCCAATGTCTGTGAGATGAACAGTCAGCACAGAATCAGCCGGCCTCACAAGGACAACAGAGCACATCACATGTAAGCTTTCTACAGGAGTTTTTGTAAATTAGGTTATAGTTACACAAAGGAGACAACATCTACTCCTGAAAACATTTTAAAGCTTAATGGTGTGTTCCACGGTATACAGAAAGCAATCTAACTCGCTAACAGCTGGCAAAGGACCCCAACCCACAGCTGAACCCCCAACTCACACAGATGGCATTGATGTCAGACTCGTGGCCAGTGAAAGTTTGCCGGCACATCCCTTCTCGCACATCCCAGAGTTTGGCTGAAGCATCACAAGCACCAGAGACAAACAGTCTGGTGTCAGGAGCGAGAGAGAGGCTCATAACATCCCCAGTGTGTCCAGTGAACGTGGTTGTCTGCTGGCCGGTCTCGATGTCCCACAGAGCACTGCAGCGGGAACACAAAACATGCAGTCACCTCACTTTGTCAGACAAGCAGTCATGTGACAAACTGTCCTTCAAACCACCCCAGGACCACAGTAAACCTCTGTGCTTTTACTGAAGACAAATCTAAATGTCATAATGTGGCTTTGTTTGGAAGGGAAACCAAGCACCCAAACAAAACACAGACGAGAATGTGGCCACAGGCTTTGGAGTAGCTGTTCTCTCTACACCAACTCAAACACCAACAAAGGGGGAGCCAGTGACCTGTGCCCCATGTGGGCTTGCAAGGAGCAGCAGGGGCTCCTGGCCAGTGCCCCACACGGGCACAGATCTGCTGCAGCCAGCTCGCTGCCCTCCGGGGTGCCACGGGCTAAGACACGGAGACGACACCAGGTCAACAAATGGCTCAGGGCAAGGCGCGGGTCCCACGGCCTTCCTCGGGAGACACAAACGGGAGAGTCCCTGAGTTTGGTGTCCCGTGGATGTCTGATGAGCAACTATTTAAAGGGTACAAAGGTGAGACGTCGACTGTGCTGTGGGTGGAGCGTGGGCCACTTCTGTGTTTCAAGCCCCAGGAAGCAGCAGCACCGAAAGCTGCTTGGTTCTGGCTCAGAATGCAAATCCGGTTACACCATTTACAGGTTGACTGTGCAGGGGGGGGTTCCTTGCTAGGGCCTGGAGGGACTACAGCAAGGAAGGAATCACGTCCAGGACTCCAGCTTTAAAAAAATATCTTCTAATAAAGAAATTCTTCCGAAAACGGACAGGCTACATTATAAGTCTTTTGTGAACCTATACGATTTATACAAAGAGGACAAGCCGGATAGGGGAATCGGGACCCGGCGTAGGGCATGCCGCCACATTGTGCCACAAAGCCCAGAAAAGCCCCTGACAATGGTTTAAGTCTGAAATGACTCCTATCTGATCATGTAATGTTCTAGAGGTTAAGTGGGCTTCTAACTGTAAGGTAGAAGCTCAAACTGAGGCAGGCTGAGACAGTGCACTTGACATGGGAGGCCCTGCTCCTCCTCGGTTCTGCTCAGAGTCCACAGTGACACAGCGCTCAGAGGGGACCCGCTCCCCAAAGGGATGCCAACAGTTGCCCAGACGGAGTGTGGCCAGGGGGAAGAAAAACAGGCATGTCACCTACAGCTGCAATGCCTATGAGTCAGTCCTTCGTTGCTGAAAATTAAACTCTGAACTTTAAAATCTACCAAGAGTACAAGGAATTTGCTCGTCGCTCATGAATTTGTGTTTGACACCTCACGGCCACTTCAAATTAATAAAAGATGGCCTGATTAATGCCAAGAGTCTTATTTCCTACACGTCTAAGGTGAGCAGTATGAGAAGACAGGGCGCACAGGTGCTCACCAGGTGGTGTCCCCAGAGCTGGTGACGATCTGATTGTCATCCAGGAAGCGGCAGCAGGACAGGTAACCTGGAAAACAAACAGAAGATGGCCCTGATCTGCAAGCCCCTGCCCGCAGTTCTAAGGTCCTGTAAACAGAAAACACACTGGCAGAATGAACACACCTGCAAGTTCCACATCTAGGTGTAGACCAATGCTTGCCAGCCGCCCCCCGCCCTGCCCCACATGCAGTAATGAACAAACAAGGTGGCACAGCCCACAGGCCGGGAGGAGCAGATGCCAGCTCAGAGGAGAGGCCACGAGCCCTCTGCCCCACACCCTGGGAGGTGTCTTGCTGTCTCTGTTCCTCTGATCCGTATGTGGGGACAGGGGTTCCCTTTCTGCTCCCACATCCACTCATCCCACAAGAACTTATGCTGGTGCCTGGAGGGCAGCCCTGTGGGCACCTGGAACATATCTGTGATCAGAGGGCTGTTTCTCTCCCTCCTGGGGTGTGAGCTCACATCCCAGGAGGGAGAGACAATGTATGTACATGTTAGGGAAGGAATGGAAAGGGTGGTCTGCGGAGGCCTCCTGAATCCTCCAGGAAGGCACAGCCAGAGCTGGGATCGGGGCGCCAAGCGGGGCGGCGGGGTTTTCTACAGGATGCCAGCTAGAGTACGCAAGTTGGCGTGGAAATGGCTGGATGGCGCCTGAGCGTGTGGGAGGCGAGGCAGAGCTGCGGTGCCGATGCCGGGATGCTGGCAGTGGGGCACACTGAGATCCCCAACCTCAATCAGCTTTTGGTATGAGGAAAGGTAAAACAGAAAATCAGTTTTTCCCTACCTACACAGTAGGATTTCTACTTAATTAGCTCTGTGGATCAAGGTTTATAGTTTTGTTCTACTGTAAGTGACTCGAAGAATTAGAAGTGCAGCACACCGCCCTCCCCCTGCCCGCCGTAAGGCGTGTGCCCAGTGGGCTGGTGGCCAGGATGGTGCCAGAGCCGCCCCGCCCCCTCCAGCCGGGCGGTCACACAGGTGTGCTCTTACAAGGACAGGGCACCCCTGCCAGTCCACATGAGGGCCCTGGGTGACGCTGTGAAGATCGGTAAAATAAAAACAAATACACAAAGAAGAAACCCATGGAACGGTTTTGGTATGGAAAGTATAAGAATACAGGGAAAACGAAGCATTTATCTGAGAGATGTTACCAAAATACTTGGAGAGGACAACTTTTGTAATGCTTATTTATATTTGAGAGAGACCGAGAGACAGAGACAGGGTACGAGTGGGGAGAGGCAGAGAGATGGAGACAGAATCTGAAGCAGGCCCCAGGCTCCAGGCTCGGAGCCTCGGGAGCCGTCAGCAGAGCCCAACGCGGGGCTCGAACTCACGAGCAGTGAGATCATGGCCTGAGCCTAAGTCGGACATTTAACCAACTGAGCCACCTGGGTGCCCCTGGATGACAATTTTTAAATATCAGCTATGTGCCTAGAAAAGGATGTGTAGGGGCACCTGAGTGGCTCAGTCAGTTAAGTGACTGACTCTTGCTTTTGGCTCAGGTAGTGATCTCATCACGGTCATGAGATCGAGCCCCAAGTCAGGCTCCGTGTTGAGCACAGAGCCTGCTTGGGATTCTCTTTCTCTCTCCCCCTCTCTCCCTCTCAAAATAAATAAACATTAAAACAAAGACAAGAAAAGAATGTGTGGTCAAGCGCTTCTCGAAGGCCATGTCATGTCTGTCCAGAGGGACACTAGGGACTCCACAGGTGAATCAATGCCCAGCTAGGAGAGGAGCAGCCTGTGTGGAAAGATCACCTGATAACAAATCCACACCGTGCATGTGACCCTTGGTCCCCAGCTGCTCAGTGCACCCCCAGGTCCTGTCCCTCATACTGCTGAGGCTCTGCCCAAGTTCCTCTCCAAGAACAGCATCTGCTTCCTGGCTACTCTGCCACCGCTCAAGTCAATTCAAACGTCCCTCCCTTCCAAAAGCCAGCCCTGGGCGTGCGACAGCGTCCTGTGAGGTGGCCCTCATGCTGCACCATCACAGACTCAGCCTGTCTGACTCGGGAGCACAAGGAGGTCAGGAGAGAAGAGCCGTGGAGACTCGGCACCAGCAGTGTCCCGTGCAGGGCCAGGCAGGGCACTCCTAGGTCAAAGACCCAAAGAAACATGACCTCCAAGACGGCCTCTGTCCACCTCGTGTATCACACAGGTTGTGGTCCAGCCAGGTGGAACCCATGAGCTCGCCCCGCCCCCCGCCGACAAGAACCAGAGATGACATGCTGCGTCAGCTGGTAAAGTGGTGGGGACTCTTCAGGGCCTCCGACGATCAGCAAGCAGCAGTTATTAGGAGCCAGGAAGGCTGTGGGAAATGATCCCACTTACAAAACAACAGGTGGCACCAGGAAGTCACAGAAGGTCTTAAGACTAAGACCGATGCTGTGAAGAGGAGGGCAGGGTGGTCCTGAGAGGCTGTGGCAGCACAGCCGGGCTCAGAGTGGGGCAGGGGCAGTGCCGGGGACGACGGTCTCCCACGTTCGTCTCCTAACTTTCCATAGTCTGAGCTTTCAAAACACATACACAAATACTACTTTTAATTAAACAAAGTCAGGGCTTCCTGCTCACAATCTGGTAACTCATTTCTGTGGTCCGCTTTGTATTTGTACATCGAGAGGAAGAAACAATAACCAGGTAGATGTTGTTTTTTATGAATTTTTTTTTCCTCCACAAAGAAAAACTGGACCGAGGCTAACAAGCTTCAACAGCACCGTGATGGGGCCCGTCCAACACAAGCTCTGCCTCCCAAGGCCTGTGAGCGTGGAAGGGAAGCCTGCAGAAGGGCCCCACGAACGGCTCTCCGTGAACTCCGACACCAGGACGGTCTCACGGGAGCCACCTGGCTGGGCACAGTCAGGCTTCAGAACGCAGGCTCGCAAATCAGAAGCAAGCAACTCAATCCTCACATGGTGGCTAACTGGCACCGCGTTCTCTGATGAGCTGCCGCCCCCCCCCGTGGACTGCGGATGGTGCCCGAGAACTGCCGGGGGGACAGAGCCGCCGGTGCACTAAGTCCTGAACGACCAGTGGCAGTTACCATCTTTAAAACTGAAGAATGAATAAATTCCCTGGGAGGGCTGTTTGTGTACACACGTGTGTGTGTGTGTGTGGGGGGGGGGAGAACGGAGTCACCTCGGGTAGAGATGAATCCCATCGTGTGTGTGTGTGTGTGTGTGTGTGTGTGTGTGTGTGTGTGTGTGGCAGAGGGCGGGGGGGTTACCTCGGGCGAACATGGCCCCCACCAGGTGTGGCCGTATGCCACACAGTGGCCAGCCAGTGGTGCTGCTGGCTCTTGGGAGCCTTACAGAGGGCCTGGGAAAACAGACCCTGACACACATGGGTGCCAAATCTGGAGGTGCAAAGGCACAAGAGTGTTCCTTTACGCCTCATGGAGACCACGGATAACAGTGTCAGGACATGCTGGGGGGCAGCCCAGTGCAGGGACAAGGGTGCCACACAGTCCAGAGAGAGGAGGCTTGACATGAGACAGTGCAGGGAACAGGTCCCTGGGTCAAGGACCATGGGGGACACCAGGGTGTGCTGTCGGCTGAGGCCTGGAGGACAGAGGCAGGACGTACCGACAGAGTGTGCTGCCTGGCTGGGAATCTGTTGCCAGAGGAGCAGAGACGCCTACTTCTGCATCTCGAGAAGGTGCCGACCCAGAGAGAGCAAAACCGAGACTACCAACGTGCACAGAAAAGTGACTCATGTGGTCCCCGAGACCAGAGGGCCTGGCTAGCTAATTTATCCCAAGAAAATGCTATAGGCTTGAGGGGTCATCCACCTGCAAGAACGTTCACACTACTGACAAACCGGAAACTGCCCAGACATCCAGCAACAGACACATCAGCACGCACTGAACTCTCTCAACTCTTTAGAATAGTTCTGGGTGAGACTGTAGGTTAAAAACACAAAAGAAGAGGGGCACCTGGGTGGCTCAGCCTCTTAGGCATCCGACTTCGGGTCAGGTCATGATCTCACAGTTCCTGAGTTCAAGCCCCACGTCGGGCTCTGCGCTGACAGCTCGGAGCCTGGAGTGTGATTTGGATTCTGTGTCTCCCTCTCTCTCTGCCCCTCCCCTGCTCGTGCTCGGTCTCTCTGCCCCTCAAAAATAAACATTTAAGGAAAACACACAAAGGAAGAAGTTCAGGGTATTTCCCCGAATTTCTACAACGAGCACATGCTGGTGGTGTAGCCGAGCCCACGCCTAGAGAGCACTGGGCCCCGCTGGGCACTATGGCTAAGTCAAAGTTGGGAGCTGGAGACACAAAGCCCCACCCCAGGCACCCACGCAGCGCCAGCTGCGGCTTCCACTCTGGGGGGGACCACGTTCCAGCCCGGAGCTGGATGAAGAGCCGCCTGCCCCACGCTGAGGGACGCACCGCAGCCAGGCAGCAGAGACAAGAGTGAGAGCACAATGTTCAAGAAGTCTGCTAAGAAGGAAAGAAGGCCTATGAAGTAACTCGAAGCTGTGGAAGTGAGGAAATGCCAAAGAAGGGTTTTGTTAAGAGTCAGGAGGGTTGACAACACCCAACGAGAGGCCAACGTGAAAGGCGAATGCCAGAGCTGGGGATCCGATGAAGACAAAGCAGACTTGAAACTCCTTCAGATGCACCCACAAGGCTGCGTGGCCTCGCCCCCCCGGGTCTTAGGGTTTTCAGTAGAGCCTGCCATTATTCTTCCCGGACGGTCTAAGGTCTGGATCTAGGCAATCGATCCAAGGGCTAGATGGGGCGGGTGCGGAATCCAGTGTGGCCAATGGCAGGCCTGGCCAGGACCTGTGGCTCTCTCTTTCTCTGCCGGGGCTGCCAAATAGGCAAGATGGAAAGTAGGTCCAAGGAGCCATCCGGAGGGAAGCTAAGGGGCGTGCACGCCCACTGTGCGGACAGCACTGTGAGCCCCTGTGCCCAGTAGGTGCCCCAGGTCAGGCGGCCTGACCACCACCCCCCCACCTCCTGCCCATACGGTCCATGCGATTCGTGAGTGAGCAGTGGGACCTGTGCTTCCCAGACTGTGGCAAACACGCAAGAAGCCTAGGGCCCATGTCACATTTAACCCGCCAATGAAAAGGGTACCAAAGAGCAGCCCTATTATGACTCCTTCTGCAGAATTAGGGGAAAACATCTCCATCCCCCGCCCCCAATATCCAAGTTCACTAGACAATGGGTCTGGTCCGCTGTGCTTTCACACGAACAGAAAATACCCTGCCTCAGACTATATGAACAGATCGTCCCTAGAGAACGAAGCTTCAGCTACCACAGCTGGTTTGGCAGGAAGGAAAGGCAGTCGCTGAGCAACCACACCAGGCTGTGCCCAGGACGTCTCTGGCTAAACTCCTGACCCAAATGTTAATGCATCTGTGGCCATCTTGACCAGAACGACCTCGGGAAGGGAAGAGCGTCCACACTGCAATGAGAGGTTTATTAAGGAAGGAGCCTTCCTTCATAAAAGCCGGCGTCACAGCTTTCCTAGCAGCATGCAGGGACCTGCTCCAAGAAGAGTCTGTGACACCAGGCCTGACACCGTCATCAGATGGGAGTCTTTAGGGAAATTCCTCATTTCTCACGTTATTATTCCCACCAAAACAGCACTTGGGAAGTTATATTCTGCATGTCATACATTTATAACAATGATAATAAGTGCCCCACCTCAATCACTGTGAATTCAGTCCAGTGGCCGTTTCCAAAGGGCGTCTTGACTCTGCAAGAGCGAATACCATCTGAGGTTTCCTCTCTGCGGTACTGGCAAAGGGTTTACAAACCCTGGGTAACTGACTCCAGAGACAGAAACTTGTTTGTTCCGCGTGGGCTGTTATATTTCACGGAAACAACAGCGGCACACAACTGATTCCCAAGAGCCTTACCCCTGAAGGTGAGCGAACGGAGCCCCCTTGGACTCTCAGACATGACGAAGACAAGACCGACTGGTATGACTGCTGACAACAGCGCTCACGGGTGTGTTTTGTGCAACTGAGTTTCTAAAATTCTACAAGAAAATGTCCCAACCGTGGCTTAACCAAGAGTTCTCAACCTCACACCCAGGCCAGAGAAAGGCATCGTAAGTAATAAACACCACACTGATCATACAGACACTCAGGTCTAAGACGAGATAAAGACAGCAAACACTCAAGTTGTGTTGAATCCACTAACGGTTCACACCTCTACCCACTGACTAAAACAAGACGATTTAAAAATTTTTTTAAGCTCATTCATTAAAAAAATTTTTTTTTCTGTTTGTTTATTTTTGAGAGCAAGAGAGACAGAGCATGAGCAGGGGAGGGGCAGAGAGAGAAAGGGAGACACAGAATCCAAAGCAGGCTCCAGGCTCTGAGCTGTCAGCACAGAGCCCGACGCGGGGCTCGAACTCATGGACTGTGAAATCATGACCTGATCCGAAGCTGGACACTTAAACCAACTGAGCCATCCAGGCGCCCTAAGTTTATTCATTTTTGAGAGACAGACAGACAGACAGACAGAGAGAGAGGCAAAGCGTGAGTAGTGTGGGGCAGAGAGAGAGGGAGGGAGACACAGAATCTAAAGCAGGCTCCAGGCTCTGAGCTGTCAGCACAGAGCCCAATGAGGGGCCAGAATCCACGAACCGTGAGATCATGACCTGAGCCAAAGTCGGACACCTAACCGACTGAGCCACCCAGGTGCCCCAAACAAGACTATTTTAAGCTTATCAGATTTTAACTATATTGACTTGAAGCCAAAAATGATGTATCATGTCTGAAGAAAGTTACGCATACTCTTAAGCAGCCAAATGCTTTTAAGAAACTACCCAACTCCCAGGAAGTAAAATTTCATGACAATATGAAGGAAACAAAAACTTTTAAGTATTTCCTCTAATCCAAATTTTGTTTTTTGTTTCAACAAACATAGTGTTAAAATATCTAAATCCTTAATTATAAATGGAAGTCAATACCCTGAATCTGATTATAAATCAGAGACTGATAAACACTAAGAATGTATTTTTTTTAAGGTTTATTTATTTTTGAGAGAGAGAGAGAGGGGGAGAGAGAGAGAGAGAGAGACACTATCTCAAGCAGGCTCCGCACTGTCAGCCCAGAGCCTGACATGGGACTCGAACTCACGAACCAAGAGATCATGACCTGAGCTGAAACCAAGACTCGGACACTTAACTGACTGAGTCCCCCAGGTGCTCCAAGGATATATATTTTTAAGTGTTGGCAGTTCATCAATGCTATAAACCAAGTGACTTCTGAAGTGTGCTCACTGGACAATCACATGGCTCACGAGGACCACACAGGTGGCCTATGTGGCTTCCAGCCATGGGGCAGCAGTTCTGGCCACAGGAGCAACTCAACTCCCCCACAGAAAACAACGATGAGCTCCGGACAAAAAACAGACGGGGTGCCTGGCGGGTTCAGTCGGTGGAGCGGGCGGCTCTTGATCTCAGGGTTGTGAGTTCAAGCCCCACACTGGGTGTGGAGATTGCTTAAAAATAAAACCTTTACAACACACAAACAAACAACTAAAGGCACAGGAAACAGAAGCAGACAGAATGAAGAGGAGCCTACACTTGGAAGAAAAGAAAGGCGTTGATGGAGCCTGTTTCTAAGGGAGGCCCCCATCTATGACACCACATGGGTAAGATCCGTGTCCAACCTTCTTCAATAGCCAGTGGACAGATCTGTGGCCAACCATAGCAGAAAGTGAAAGAAGAAAACCTAGAAAGGAGAAAGCGACAGAAGAGGAGCCCTCAACCACGCACCAAAGTGCCCAAGGCTTCTACCTGAACCACACGGGCAAAGAGCAGGCTCCACACGGCCTGGCTGATGGGAAAAGGACAGACGAGGCTCCTGCTGCTGCCTGACAGGACACAAGAGTACAGAGGGCCTACAGCACAGCACTTCACGACGTCCAGGATACAATTCAAAATTACTAGGGGCGCCTGGGTGGCGCAGTCGGTTAAGCGTCCGACTTCAGCCAGGTCACGATCTCGCGGTCCGTGAGTTCGAGCCCCGCGTCGGGCTCTGGGCGCATGGCTCGGAGCCTGGAGCCTGTTTCCGATTCTGTGTCTCCCTCTCTCTCTGCCCCTCGCCCGTTCATGCTCTGTCTCTCTCTGTCCCAAAAATAAATAAATGTTGAAAAAAAAAATTTTAAAAACAAAATTACTAGACATACTAATAAATAGGAAAACGTCACCCAGACTGAAAAGAGTCCTCAAGACCAGCCTCAAAAGGATTAGCTGCTGAAGTGCCAACAAGAATTGTGAAGGCAGTTATCAGAACTGTGATGAAAGATACCAAATATGCATGTAATAAATAAGAAGAAAATCTCAGTAGAAAAACAACTGTTTTTCTGTTTTTTTAAACAGCAAACAAAAGAACTGTTTTTTTAAAAAGCAAACAAAAATTCTAGAACTAAAAACAGAACATCTCATATACATAGGTTGCTGGGTAGTCAGAATACTAGAGGTGACAAAAGTCACATAAGCCTGGGGACAGGTCTGAAAGGACCAAATCCGATTGCAAAAGGAGGAGACTACAGAATAGAAAATGTACTTGAGGACATGACCTAAAATGTCCCAAATTTAGTAAAAGTCAAAACTTCACAAATTCAAGATGCTGGAGCAAAGTACAAAGAAAAACCACATAGAGGCACGACACAGTCAAACTGCTACAAAAACAAAGAAAAGTCTTTAAAGTACTGAAAGAAAAAAACTATCAACCCCAGAAACCAATAGATCTAGCAAACAGACTCTTTAAGATGAAGGAAAACTGGGGCACCTGGCCAGCTCGGTCAGCGGAGTGTGCAATTCTTGACCTTGGGGTTGTGAGTTCGGGCCCACGTCAGGTGTAGAGATTCCTTTAAAAAAGTAAAATAAAATCTTAAAAAAAAAAACAAAAAAAACTCTTCAAGAATGAAGGAAGGGGCAACTGGGTGCCTCAGTCGGTTGAGCGTCCAACTTTGGCTCAGGTCATGATCTCGTCGTTTGTGGGTTCGAGCCCCATATCAGGCTCTCTGCTGTCACCACAGAGCCTGCTTGGGATCCTATGTCTCCCTCTCTCTGCCCTTTGCCTGCTTGCGCCCTCCCCCAAATAAATAAATATTAAAAAAAATTTTTCTTTTTCAAATTTTATACTTCCAGATAAATGAAAATGGAGAGTAATCACTGTGCTAGCAGACCTCCACTAACTGTGAGAAACCTTAAAACAAACGCATCAGGCCAAAGGGAGCCCTTCCTTCCATCCTCGGACAGGAAGAAGGAGCACTCGAGATGGTAAATGTTGAGAAAACGTAAAGGACAACTCAAATCTCTTCAAACAGCTAAGAATGTGTATCGGAAAAAGTAGAACAATGTTTTATGGGGGCACATAGAGGCAAGAGCCATGAAAATGTCATAAAAAACGAGGAAGGGCAGAAAAATGGGCCTTTACGGCTGCAAGGTTCTTGAAGTTTATATGAACTGATACAATATTATCTCTGAATGGACCTTGAAAAATTATGAATGTACATTGTAATCCCTAGATACACCACTCAAAATTAATGCAAAGAGGAAACTAAAAAAGCCAACAGATAAGCTCAACTAGGATTCTAAGAATTTGGGTTAGTATTCTAACCGAAAAGAAGGCAGGCAGGAAAAGCAGGTGGTGGCATGACAAAGCTAAATCCAACTATGCCAACATTACGTGACACAGAAACGAACCCCATGCCAGTGAAAAGGCAGACACCTTTAAAATAGATAAAAGCAAGACCCAACTGTAAGCTGTCTATAACGGACTCTATTTATAAAGATGCGGTCGTGCTGGAAGAAAATGGATGGAAAAAAACATATGGAAACAATAAACAGAAATGTGGAGTGACTCTATTCACATCTGATGAAGCAGACTTACAACAAAGAATATTCTGAGAGAAAAAGGGACATTTCATCATGGTAAGAGGATCGATTCATCAGGAAGACAGGACAACACAAATGCATACACTTCTAACGGAGCTCAAAATATATAAAGCAAAAACTGACAGAATTAAAGGGAGAAAGATAAATCCATAATCAGAGACTTTAACATCCTCTCTCAGGGGCACATGGGTGGCTCAACTGGTTAAGCAGCCGATTCTTGATTTCCACTCACGGTCCGTGGGTTTGAGTCCCACCTCAGGCTCTGCACTGAAAGTGCAGGGCCTGCCTGGGATTCTTTCTTTCCCTTTCTCGCGCTCTCAAAATAAACAAACATTAAAACCAAAAACAAAAACAAAAAAAACCTCTCTCAGCAATTTATAGAAATAAAGATATAGAAGATTTGAACAGTATCAAGAACTCTGGCTCAAAAGCCTGGCTCTAATGAACACATTGAGAACATTGCCCAGCACTTACAGAACAGACTCGATTTCCAAGTGCATGTGGCGAGGTCATTGTGACAGATTATCTGCTCCTTTAAAAACAAGTCCCAATAAACCGAAAAGAACTGAAGTGTTGCAGAATATGTTCGCTGAACATAATGGAATTTAATTATAAATCAGTAATAAGTTATCTAAGAAAACTCCAGGTACTTGAAAGTTAAGCAACATACTTTTAAGTAACCCATGAATCAAAGAAATAATCAAAAGGGTTTGAAGATACTTCAAGTAGAACAAAAGCCATGTTTAGAGGGAAATGTATAGGTTCAAGTGCTTAAATCTGAAAAAGATCTAAGTTTCCACCTTAAGACACTAGAAAAGTAAGACGGAATCACCCCCAACTAAGCAGAGGGCAGGAGACAATGCAGGACAGAAATGGAGAAAATACAGGGAGCCTATCTTTAAATTTTTTTTTTTTTTCAACGTTTATTTTTATTTTTGGGACAGAGAGAGACAGAGCATGAACGGGGGAGGGGCAGAGAGAGAGGGAGACACAGAATCGGAAACAGGCTCCAGGCTCTGAGCCATCAGCCCAGAGCCCGACGCGGGGCTCGAACTCACGGACCGCGAGATCGTGACCTGGCTGGAGTCGGACGCTCAACCGACTGCGCCACCCAGGCGCCCCAATGGGAGCCTATCTTTAGAAGGACAACCAATACCATCAAACTGGTGGCTGCCAGAGGGGAGGTGAGTGGGGAGAAATGGGTGAAATACAGGGGAGCAGGAACACACTTACCATGATGAGCCCTGAGCAATGTGTAGAGTGCTAACTAATTATATTGTATGCTTGAAACTGGTACCACTGTATGTTAATTACACTTCCACAAAACAACACAAGAAGTCACACGAATTAAAAAAAAAAGGAGAATGGACATACTTTTATCTGACTAAAATCAATTTAACACAAGGCTTACCTAGAGTCAAAAGCAGTATTATTTACTCCTTTAATTATGACCATTTCTTTAGTTGCACGTAAAACAGGTGAGCCTAGCAGGGTATAAGTTTGAGAACTGAGAATATAAGTAAAATATTAGAAAGAGACCAGAAATACGATGCCTTTTGTTATGAATAACAAGTGTCGCAGGGAAACTAAACTTGGCAAAATAATGTACCACCGAACTCTTAACGCTGGCCGTGTTCAGCACTCTATCCCACAAGAGTGCTACTTGGCGTCCAGTAGCTCAGATGACCAGTCCGGACAAGTAGGCGCGGGAATGCACGGTACGTATACACGTGGATAAACGTGCACGTTCAGACTAGGAAACCCCTGTGGAAAGGCACTTAAGATACAAGATGGCTTAGACGGAGGTAACAGAGTCAACTGTGTTAACATAAACTCAAAAAGGTGGCTGCCAGCTACTCAGGCAGTGACCTGAGTCCCTGCGACCCTTGAAAACAGGATGCCACAGCAACTTCAATCTAAAGGCTTCTTCATGGTAAAGGCATATCCAAGCCTGTCTTTGATTTCATTTTCAGAGTGTTTGTGGCCATTATTACAAGCAATCTCATTGAATCATTATTGACAAGAGGGGAGAGTCCAAAGCACACAATGCAACCATCTTCTACAACTCTGAGCTTACTGATGACAACAGGTACCTGTATGTCCAGCCAGTTCACGGCTCACACGTACATTCCCTTCACGAGTTTTCAGATTGTAAATGGAGCAAATGTTATCCAGGCCACCGCAGGCCACGTAGTTCCCAGAAGGCGCGTATGCACAGGTCATGACCCATGAGGAGCGCAGAGGGATGGCATGCACCTACATGACAGAACACAGAGATGCAGACACATTCAAGTTCAACAACGCCAACTGTGGACTCCAGGGCTCTATTTCTAGTCTTCAACTCTCATTGCACGGAAGGTGACGGAGCAAAACAACAGCCAAAAGTATTTTGAAAGTAATTTATATGCGTGGCCAGTCAGTAAAGTACTAATTTAACTAGCAATCCGGCCCTGCACACCAATTTAATCTGCAGCCTTAATAAAGTCACAATCTACGGTTAGATGTGCACATAAATAACAGCCTTAGAGCCTCCTGACTCAAACTCGATGTTAAAGAAAACATTTCACTGGCATGTCAAAATGGCTATAAACTGATCGGCAAAAAGTTTTCAGTGAAGTAACCAAACTACACGTTGTATTTAATCCTGCCACAGACCTCCCTGTGCTTCAGATAAATTTGTTAAAAATACTGTAATCGTCTGTGCACGCTTAGGACTCTCCAGTAAAATACGACTGAGTCTGGTCTTTTCATACGCTTGGACCCAGTGACAGTACTTTCTCATTCAGCACAACCTTGGATTAAGTTTTTAAAATAATTTCATTTATTATACCTCAAAGTATACTGCCTTTCAGGTTATCGCTCATAAAAACTAACAACCAAATGAAAAGCTGAATTTCTACATTTTTAAATAAAACACAAAATTTCCCAGACGAAGCTAAATCTGGAATCCAGGTCTCTCGGAACCATCCAGGAGGCATTTAACCTCCCACCTGCCCTGTAAGGAGATAATAATCTGTGCAGACGAGACTACTAACGTGTGCTAGCCATGTGATCTGCCTTCACACTAAAAACAGAAAGCACCACGGCCCCCTCCCTATCCTGTGAGAGGTTTTACACAAGTGAACCAGAGTTTAAAAGGCCGCCTCCCCCGGGGTCAGCTTCTCAGGGAGGGGACCCCACACGGCCCTTACCTTATTCGTGGTGTAGCTGTCCCAGATGATCAGTTTGCCATCCTGTGAGGCGCTGACCAGAAGCCTAGAGGGAGAGGGACAAGAGCAAACTGATGGCACCACAGACAGCATCGCACGAAGGCAGCAGTACAGACTGAATCTGCGACTCAACACACACCTCAGTGTCACATTTGCTTGGGACAACGCATACCGATGTATGAGAAAATACAAAAGGTCCGATTGTTAACGCAACTTTGAAAGCATGGAAGAAAGTACTCCCACAAACAACAGTGCAGATTCAAGAGCACTCGCTTTCAAATGCAAACTAGATCACTAAAGTCACTCTCTGCTGAGATAGGACAGGCTGAGTTCTTCTACCTGCTTAGGTTTGGTTTCTGTTCATCAAATTTGAGACATACAAATCTTCCCTTTTCTTTTTTAAAGTTTATTTATTTTGAGAGAGAGACAGACAGTGAGCAGGGAGGGACAGAGAGAGGAGGGAGGGAGACAGAGAGGGAGACAGAAAGAGAGAGAGAGAGAGAGAATCCCAATGCGGCCCGAACTCACGAACCATGAGATCGTGACCTGAGCCAAAACCAAGAGTTGACGCTTAACCAACTGAGCCATCCAGGAGCCCTGAGACATACAGATCTTTCAAAAACCAAAGATGGCAGAAAATACTTAATACACAAATATACTTCCATTTAGACATGTAGAAAGCTCAGATATAAAAGAATAA